CAGCGCAGGCGCAACCCCGTAGAACGAAGGGCCGTGACACCACGTGAGGTGACACGCTCAACTCCGAGGCAGTAATCAAAAGCCTGTCCGCATGCGCGTGGAGAACGCGTCACGCCGCGCCCCCTGGGGGTGGGATGCGGTGCGGCGCCTTTTTCCTGGCGCGCGGAGTGTTCTACGCCCATGCCTCGCGGGGGCGCTGCTGCCTCCTCAGCCTGCCTGCAGCCACCAACGGCCGCAGCCCGCAGAGTGGAGCCGACTGCAGCCAGGTGTCTCCATGCGGAGGTGAGGCGGCCTCCGCAGCACGCGGAGACCCTGGGCTCCGCACGCCGTGCCCTGGCCTGAGTTCAGCCAGACTGGCCAAGCGCACGCTGCCGCGGAGCTCACGGGTCTCAGGCCCGTGGATGTACCAACGTCCAGTAAAGATGGGCTCGGAAAGGTCCAGTTCTGCCCTCACAGGCCGGCCCGACCAGCCTGCGAATAACTCAGGCAGCGCCCTTAGGACGTGGGCTTAGTTTAGGCCTGAATAGCAGGGGCGTGCTGGGCTGTCCTGGAGCTTACTGTGGAATTGCCGTTTTGTTAAAGCCTACCCAGGCCTGAACATGTTAGAGAGGTGAAAGGTTTTGGTAACTTTGAAAAACCCTTTTTCTATACAAAGGAGGAAAAGCAGGATACTGTATTCCTGCAGGGACTAGAAATAAACCTAGGTCTTGAGGCTGCTCACACTCCCATAGGTGCTTAACTTAAAGTTTATGATTAGTCCCCCTTTGTGGTTAATAGGATTTCTTAAAGTTAAAAGCATGCATGTCAGGCTGCTGTATGCAGTTCTTCCACCATTATAATTATTGTGGTTAGGGATGTGCTTGTTTACTAAAATAGTTACACTAGTACAACCCTTAGTGTGGACACAATTCAAGGTGCCTTATACTAATGTAGTTGTTCCCATAAGGGAATGGGAATAAACTGAACCACTATAAGCATCTTTATACTGGTATAATTACATCTATAATAAGAGTGTTTTGCAGCTTTAGCTATACTGGTATAATTAATGCAGTACAACTTTTGTGCGTAGACAAGTCATAATTGGGTTATTGAACCCCTGTGGAAGTTTGTACCCGTTTCACCACATTAACTGCTAATGCCTTTCTACAGCATTTCCAAAGTCAGTTATGTCCTTGAGACAGAAAAACTTAATGGAGAATAAAATAAATATTTAGTTGGTTTTTGTTTTGTTTTTTTTTTAAACAGAAAACTAAACTGGTTTCGTTCATGGAGAAAGCTGCCTAGCTATCTCAAATCCTTACACAGGAGCCTTATATTTAAGTAATTAAATCACTTGAAACAGCATGATTTCACTCAAAACCTCTGCTAGAAGATCCCACATTCATTAAGGCTTTGCCTATGCTAGAAAGGGTTATACTGGAACAGCTATACCAGCAAACCTTCTTAGTTTATGCTGGCAAAAGAGTGTTTTTGCTGGTATAGTTTGTGATTCCCCGCCTGCCCGGCCCCCAGACATAACTATGCCAGCAAAACTTTTAAGTGCAGACCAGGCCCAGAACTCCCATTTCAGGACATTGCCAAGCAATTTACAGTATTAAATTATTTTATTGAAACCTCTTCTTAATGCACTCTAAAAACACCCAGAACTAGAGACAGACGCACCTCTACAGTTCTATGAGCCCACCTGAAATACTTTAGATGTGTAAAGTATGTACAAAGGCTTTGATCCAGCAACAGCAACATATGCTTATCTTTACTTATGAGTTGAAATTTGTGGGATTGCTCACATACTTGGAAGTTAGGCATGTGTGTAAGTATTAGCAGGATTGGGGCCACAGTTTATACACAAAAGATTGCGTTTTGCATACTTCTGTGTGTTGCTTTAAATTTTTTATTATGAAACACCAGACGGCAACACAATAGATTTTACACTCTGATTTCATCTGTGGGTACCTTGTAGATAGTTTTATATTTGGACTACACAAGACTTCTTAATGCATTAAACATAAATTTTTAAGTATTTCAAGTATTGAATTGAAATGTATTTGTTTTATTAAATAACTGATACAATATATTTAATGTCCTATAAGTATTTACTCTTTTATAGGTCTTCCTTTTAGCTTTTTAATAAATTTCTCTGGCATCTGTATTAAAAGACCATCTTATTTAAACAACCACGTTTTTACATTCTCCTGAGTGGTTCATTATTATGTGGTATATCTTGTCTGCAAAGTAAATTTAAATCTAAAACTAGACACAAACAATGCATTGAAGCAATGTTTAGGTTGAAGAAGCAAGCAGAAATTAGGTTAAAACTGCTAGAGTAACTTTTATTCAGCCCAGTTTTGTTTAGGTGTTTAGTATCACTTCCATAACTGGTCAGTTTAGTCACAGTGAAGCTTATTAATCAGATGTAGCCATTTTTCAGTTTGACACTCAAGCAGATACTTTTTTTAAAAAATGGTTAACTATTTGAAATAACAATTTAGTATGAAAATATTTCAAGCTGTGGATTGCTTGTCAATTCTTTACTGTTTTGAATATTTGACATGTGGAATTCCGTTAGAGATGTTTTTGTTTCTTGCCTGCATTTTATAAGCAGGAGGAGTGCCTGAACAATTCATTCTGTCAGGCTGAGGTTGGAAGGACTAAAAGAGAGGAATTAGTAGAACTGGAATTTTAGGAGCAATGTATTCTGTCTCCACAAAATCTTTTCTAGTTTAGAATGTTTGGTTATTTGTTTTTATACATAAGAAATAAAGGACTGACTGAGACTTTTTTTAAAGTAAGCTTCTCGGATAGGTCCCTGAGTTCATACTTCTGATGTTTAGTTTTGAGCAAATATAACTGGCCCCTTAAAACTTACTTTTGGAGTCTTATCTGGTTCTTCCACTTCAGTTTTATGTTTAGATGGCTAAATAACATGGGAAACATACATAGTGACCTCACTTACCCTACTGAACATAGCTTTAATCGATTTGATTACATCATCAACAAGCCTCACAAGTTGTTAATGTTAAACTTATTTGAATAATTGTTGGCTCACACTTTACTGTTAATAGATTACTTGTGGCACCTTAGAGACTAACAAATTTATTTGAGCATAAGCTTTCGTGAGCTACAGCTCACTTCATCGGATGCATTTAGTCTCTAAGGTGCCACAAGTACTCCTTTTCTTTTTGCGGATACAGACTAACACGACTCTGAAACCTGTTAATAGATTGTTATTCAGCCTGTTTGAACATAGAAGAGCCATTCTAAAAGATTTTTCCCTTAGAAATTAAAATATTTTGTGTTGTACCTGGAATGTGATGATGCACTGAATTAATCTTGTTTTCATACAACAAGGGACATTATTTATTTTGTTCTTTATTTGAAAGTATCACAAGAGGGCGCCCACCTAAAGCTAAAAACACACTGAATGTGAGCGAGCTACCATGGGGGTTTACTTCTATTTGTACTTAGCCTCTTTTTATATTTTCTTTGTTCTCGGGTTCAGACACCACTGTAAGAGGTAAATATCTACACGGTGAGATACACTAAAGGATTAGATTCATGTTCAAATCGATGAAAAAGATATGAAAAAAATGAAATAATCCAGATCTTTCAGCATTTTTAAAAAGACCATTGTTAATCCAGAAACATGAGCTAATAATTTGAATTCAATATTAATAGTTTGTAAATAATGTATGTTATATATTTAATAATTTATTATTATGGGCATTTTCCTGTTTGAGATCTGTACCATGAGTCAGTGAGTGAGCTATCGTGAATGCTGTTTAGGTTAGGAGTGTTTGAGCAAATCACAGAACTCCCATTACATGAGCAGAAGATCCAAACAGTGTTAACATTTCCACTCCAGTATACAAAAATGGGGTAGGAGAGGGAAATATAAACATATTTCTTGTTCAGTCCATCCCCCATTATTGGCAGAAAAAAATTCCAAACTTGTTGGAATCTTCTAAAGGAGGTTCTGTCTCACCAATGCTATAGGACAGTATTGAAATAGCTACAAAACAGTAGCAGCTAACTCACCTATGTGGAGATGCACGGGACCTGATTATTCAGTGTGCAGAGTGGGTGTAGAATTTTCTGCCATTATGGTTTGGTAGCTTTTTACACCCACTGTGCACAGGGATTGATGACCATATAATATGCAACACTGTAAAATCAGTTCCCATATCTTTTGTCTCCATGTAATTTTTACTGGGCATAAAGGGCCAATTTGTTTGGGTTTACACTAGGGATAAATTTGGTCCATTCTGCTCATCTTCAGCAGAAACAAATGAAAAGAGAAATGCAAATATGAAGAGATTCTATGAGATTACAGATATTAATAGCTATATAAGCAAATGATACATGAGCGGGCTCCAAAGTCCATGTCCCGCAGTTAAGCTGTGATAAAACAGACCAGTCAGGTATTTGACTGGTTATTTTATCAGTCACTGAAAAAAGTAACTTTATTTAGGTTTTTCAAGTAGCACACTGAAGGACCCTTACAATTTCATAAAATGACTAATTTCCCACAATAATATCAGTTACAATCAATTTATGTATTCAACTTAGATTCTAGGGTGTCATTTTGCAGCAAGCAGTCCTGTGCTGTAGCAATTTCATATATGGTATAAATTTCACGAAATGCAGCCAGCCCAGGCCTGTAGATTGCCTCAATCGTCCTGAATGTACTTGTGTGGGGTGGCGGCGTTACTGGAGCTGGTGCCTTGGCCCCAAAATTCACTTTCAAAGCAAGAGAATAAAAAATGATAAATGTGTAAAGAAAGATATTGTCAACTCAAGCTTCCCAACAGAGAATAGAGCAGAGAAGCAGTGTGTGGCTTGGCTCTGTGCCTGTGTGTTTGGGCAGGCCCCTAGGGATAGGATGATCAGATAGCAAGTGTGAAAACTCGGGACAGGAGGTGGAGAGTGATAGGTACCTATATGAGAAAAAGCCCCAACAATCTGGACTGTCTCTATGAAATCGGGACATCTGGTCACCCTACCTTGGGAGTGCAGGTCTCCCTGTTGAAGTGCGTGCGCCGGGGGCGGGTGTTGGAAGAGTGTCTCCCTAGGTAGGCTAAGGGGACAAGGGTGGAAGGGCTCAGCGGCCGAGTCTTTCCCTGCTGTACCATTTGCTCCTGGAGCTGGTCCTTGAGGGGGTGGCGAGGTATTCTACGGTCCTCGGCCACGGTGCGCATGTGCAGTGAGGGCTGCTGAGAGGTGGCGCCGCAGAGCTTGTTTGTCCGACTCTCGGCTGCTGGCTGCGCAATGCGTTCCCCCGGTAGCGTGTGAGCCCGCCTGGCGGCTCGCAGGATCTTACCCAGCCCGCCGCAGACGCTAATGGCGGAGCCGGGCCCTGAGGAGCCAGACGAGCGGCTGTTGCTGCTCTCGGAGCCGACGCTGCAGGACAGCCCCCCCGCGCGGGGGCTCCACGGCGTGAAGGCAGCTCCCGGCGGGGCCGTGAGGCTTGGCGGGGCCTCGGGGCTGGAGGAGGAGGAGGATGGGGACATAGACACGGACCCTGAGGGTGATGGTGAGGAAGAGCCGCTGCTAGGAGCATCTGCCACCCGCCGGAGCCGGAGCGCCGGTGCCTCCTGGGACAGGGAGACTCGCATTGCTGCAGGTACAGCGGAGCCCTGTCCACACACAAACTACCCACCCGGTGGGTAGGGTGACCAGATAGCAAGACTGAAAAATCCGGAGGGGGTGGGGGTAATAGGTGCCTACATAAGACAAAGCCCCACATATCAGGACTGTAGCTATAAAATTGGGACAGCTGGTGTACCGGTGGGACTGCCTCCCCTCCCCCAATTTCCACAGCGCTCCCCTTGGCTTCTACTCTTTGTCCCCCTGCCCCCCCCGGGGGAACGCGGGGATTCCTCACCACCACCCCTCCATTCATGCCTTGTCTTTGGTTTGTTGATCCCTTGACTCAGCGTTTATCCAGTTCACTTTCTCTTTTCTTTCCGAGGTGCTGCTGGCTTGTTAGGGTAGGAAACCTAAAGGGGAGTACCTCACAGTCTTCCTTTATATACACACATACAGCCTTCCCCCACACCGTGTAAAAGGAGGGTTTACCCTCCGTCCTCTTGCTTCCATGTTCTGGAATACGACTTACTTAGTTTAAATAACTTTTTAAAAGAAGTGAGCCCGGAACAAAACAGGCGCTGTTACTGGAACAAGATCAAAGTTGTAATTGTTATTCGATTTGAGAGAGTTTACCTGAAGAGGGAGGGGAGGGGATGGGGTGTAGTATGAGATCATTGTAAAGCTATTTTTGCTGCTTGCAAGAGCTGCCTAACTGAAGGCCTGTTTGCTCAGGGAATGGCTACAGTATAGACAGTGACAGCCCCTTCCCTGCTAGTTTGTTTGTAAGGATACCCTCTCATCTACAGAGGTAATTGAGTCTCCATACCCAATACCTCTTTGAAAATGCCAGCAAGGATCCATCTCAGGAGACCACCACCAATCTGTATCATGTAACGTGTGGGTCAGTTGTTATGTAAAAACTACTTTCAGTCACTGTTAGTCTAGAACAGTGGGAGAGTATATTGCAATGTAATCATTTTTGGGACCACCATCCTCTAAAAACAGTGCTTTAAGGAACGCTGCTACTGTAAATTAACTTAAAAATCAAACTCCTTGTCTCTATATGTAAGACCCTATGTGAGGTCACTTGCCTCTATATATCCAGTCTTGTGTATTCTTGCTTCCTGTTTTCCTCTCAGGTCAGGTCTACGCTAGGAAATTAGGTTGGTATACCTATGTTGCTCAGGGTATGAAAAATCCATATCCCTGAGCGACACAGTTAAATCGACCTCAGCCCTGGTGTGGACAGCGCTAAGTCAGTAGGAGAATTTGCTTCTCAGGAAGGCAGAGTACCTACGTGGACAGCGTAGGTAGCCTCTTCACTGAAGTGCTACAGTGGCATAGCTGCAGCGTTTTATGTGTAGACTTGCCCTCAGTTCTCACTTAACAGCTCTTGTCATCTTTTTCAAGTTCTGGCTTCACACCTGTAGTCATGCTGTATCTAGTGTTTGGAACAGTCTATCATTCCTGACAACTTGGCAAAGCTTTCTCATTTTTCTCCTTCAGACTTGCTTGTTCAAGGACTGTCCAATTTCCTTTTCTTGTGAATAATATTTATTCACTTTCCATTCTGTGAAAAGTGATCCAGTGCTTGGTTTTATGACCTATTATAGGACTGGGGAGCTTTGTATTAGTGTGTCAGGTGTGTACATTTCTGGCAATATGAAATTGACTTTTAATAACTGCTTTATTGTCTTTGAAACCCAGTACTCAAGGGAAAAGTGTCCAAATTTTAAAGTGAGTCAGTCTGTCGGTGAAATTCCAAATGCAAAAGTGCCAAAAAGAGGGTTGTAGCAAGAAAGTAATAACTAACAAATTGTTAGTTGTCTTTCTTATGACTTTATACCTCTCTTCAAGCCTCTCCAGGTCAGTAAAGGAGTGTAAACCTATGGCCTTGTCTAAACTGCTTTGCCTGTACTAGAAAAAGTTTATTAGTATAGCTATACCAGCAAACTTTGCTAGTTGAGATGCAGCTTAAAGCTGTAAAATAATCCTTTTTCCAGTTTATTTTATAATAGTTTCTCAAATGAAATAAACTATATCATCAAAAAAGTAATGTTACCTTGCACAACTGCATCTTCATTCTGGCTATTGCTGGCATAGCTATGTCAGTTTTCTGGAGGGGAGAGGGGGAATGATGGGATTTTTTTTTTCTTATTTCTAACTGCTATATTCTGGCAAAACTTTTAACTATAGACCAGGCCTAAGATTTAAAGAAGTTATGTTAAAATGTATTCGCTCATGTGTTCTGACATAACACGTTTTAAAAGTATGGTGTACAGTACATGAAGCATGTTGCCTTTAAATATGTGCTGAATTGGTTGTGTTATAGCTCCAGAATGAAGACTGTCAACAACTTTGCTTCTTTGATATGATAGAACTTTCTGCAATAATAGTAAAGCTTGTCTGTGTACTAGTCAGAAATTAACTCTCTCAGGAACTAGGGACCATAATAAACCTCTCCACCATTCAGACTAAAGTGCAAGGAGCATTTCTTTGACTTTGCCTTTCAAATATGTACACCCACATTGCTATATATTTATGTATAAAAATTCCAGAACACAACTGACAGGATTCATAGGGTACAACATGGAACTGTGGGACTGCTGTGCACCTTAACTCTCCAACCTGGGCTCTCTCTCTCAGTGCTATGCCAGTGACAGGCAGCCAACCCTTCCAGGTGCTGTGATCACTCAGCCATCAGCATGTGGAGCCCCACACGCAGATAAATTGCATGAGTCAGTCACAAATTATATAGAGATCAGCACCAGCCAGTCACCCCAGCAATATACCGTCTTATGCTGTGCAAGAGTTGGATAGTGCAAGATCATTAATTAGTTTGCCACTTCTTCAAAGGGTAGTGGATATGCAACAACCCTTGTTAACCTGAGCTGAGATTTCCCAAGTACTTCAACAAAAACAACACTGTTTTAGATAAAATATAAAACAGATTTTTAAGTGATTATAAGTAGCAAGCATAGAGATCAAAGTTGGTTACATAAGAAATAATAATCTTGCAGTCTAAATTCTACAGTCTGAGGGCATGTCTACACTTACCTCCCGAGCAATCGATCCAGCGGGGTCAATTTATCGCTTCGACCGCGAAGCGCTCTCCCGTTGACTCCAGTACTCCACCGGAGCAAGAAGAGTACACAGAGTCGACAGGGGAGCGGCAGCAGTCGACCTACCGCAGTGAAGACACCCCCCGGTAAGTAGCTCTAAGTACGTCGACTTCAGCTATGCTATTTTCGTAGCTGAAGTTGCGTAACTTAGACCTACTTACCTTGCATCCCCCACCCTTCCCCCCAGTATAGACCAGGCCTAAGTAAGGTTTGAATCAAACAGTCTCTCACCCCAATTTACACAGGCTGGATCCCCTTCCCAACCTGGGACCAGTTTCCCCAATTCAAAGTTTTATCTTCCTAACAGTCTTCCAGGTTTTGAAATGGTGGATGGAGAGAGGCCAAGTGATGATTTCACTGTCCCTCTTTTATACCTTTTTCTAGCTACTAGAAAGATCCTTGCTGTGAGGTTGGGTTTAGTTAGACCTCATTGGGTACATCCCCTCTCTAAGTCTCGGGGATAGTGGATTCTTCCTGATGGGCAATCAACACATGTCTGGCTGGTCCTGATGTAACTCTTTTGTCCCCACTGAAAGGCTAGCTGTGAGCATTCCCAACTTCACACGACATTTGATTAACAAACCTATAGCAATACTTCGTGACTTCACATACAATGATAGTAAAATTCAACAGATTAGGACAGATCATTTTAAGATGATACTTCACAAGGCACTCATTGTACAAAACATATCATAATCATATGACCGTGGTGAATATGGAGGTTCCAGGATGCTATTTTAAGGTACAGAGTGTCACAACAACTCTCAACTGCACACATTTTTATCACTGGGAAGGGTCTGAGAGAACAGTATATGAGAGATGATAGTCATGTTGCTTAATGCACTACTGGAAAGAGCTCAGATATTATGGTGGTGAGCACAGTGTATATTCTGTAAAGAATAGAATAGGGGGAGCCCCGGTTTTAACTCAATCAGTTTAGCATGTATTAAAGTATTTGCTGCTTTCTGTCTTACTCCTTTAAAATGTTTTATGTTAGCTAACATGTTTTAATATTGCACGCTTAAACACACGTCTAGACAAAGCTTAAGCAAGTGAAGTTGCTATACGTAAAAGCTGAGGGTGCTCAGAAGACGTGAGTTATACAATCTAGACTCTCATTTGAATTTTAAGCTGTTTAGTGATCTGATTCTGTAGTTAGATGTGGGCAGACCCTTGTTCCAGCATAGAGCCCTACTGAAGTGAAGCTGAGGTGAAAGGGGATCTGCCTGCTCAGGATTGATTGCAGTATTGGGGACTACATCAAAAATGGTTGACAATAGTGTATCCCCCCAAAGACAAAAACTTGGTTAAGAAAAGTTAGCATTGCTTAAGGGTAACCCCATCCACAAACCCTTAAAAGCAAAAAATGTCCCATAAAGGTATCCTCTGGCATACTTTAGCCCCCAAACATCATATTCACATCATTTTCACTGACGCTCTGACCTTCTATAAAGGTCCCATACACTTTAAACATGTATGATTTCTCATGCCATCTTCATCACTACAGTATCTGATCAACTTCCATTAGCACAAAAGTGACATGACTAACATCTGTCAAATGTCATTCATTCTGTGTCATT